TCATCAAAAGTCTCCCAACCAAAAAAAGCCCAGGGTCAGATGGTTTCCATGCAGAATTCTCTTAAACTGTTCCACACAATAGAAGCAGAAGGGTCATTGCCAAACTCTTTTTACAAGGCTACGATTACCTTGGTACCTAAGCCACACAAAGGCACAACTAAGAAAAAGAACTAAGACCAATATCCCTCATAAACATTGATGTAAAAATACTCAACAAAATACTGGCAAATCGAATCCAAGAACACATCAAAACAATCATTCACCACAATCAAGTAGGTTTCATCCCAGGGATGCAGGGTTGGTTCAACATACAAAAATCCATCAATGTAATCCATCATATAAACAAGCTGAAAAACAAAAATCACATGATCATCTCACTAGATGCTGAAAAAGTCTTTGACAAAATCCAACACCCCTTCACGATAAAGGTCCTGGAGAGATCAGGAATAACAGGAACATACCTAAACATAATAAAAACAATATACAGTAAACCAACAGCCAATATCAAACTAAATGGAGAGTAACTCAACAGGATTTCTCTTAAATCAGGAGCAAGACAAGGCTGTCCACTCTCTCCATATCTCTTCAATATTGTACTTGAAGTTCTAGCTAGAGGAATAAGACAATAAAAAAGGAGATCAAGGGAATACAAATTGGAAAGGAAGAAGTCAAATTTTCACTATTTGCAAATGATATGATAGTTTACATAAGTGACCCGAAAAACTCTATCAGGGAACTCCTACAGCTGATAAACACCTTCAGCAAAGTGGCAGGATACAAGATCAACTCAAAAAAAAATCAGTAGCCCTACTATGTACAGACTATAGAAGGGCTAAGAAAGAAATCAAAGAAACATCACCCTTTACAATAGCCACAAACAACATAAAATACCTTGGGGTAATGCTAACCAAACAAGTGAAAGACCTGTATTGCAAGAACTTTGAATCTTTAAAGAAAGAAATTAAAGAAGATACCAGAAAATGGAAAGATCTCCCATGCTCTTGGATAGGTAAGCTCAACATAGCAAAAATGACGATCTTGCCAATAGCGATCTACAGATTCAATGAAATCCCCATCAAAATCCCAACACAATTCTTCACAGACCTTGAAAGAACAATACTCAACTTTATATGGAAAAACAAAAACCCCAGGATATCCAAAACAACCTTGTACAATAAAGGAACTTACAAAGGCATCACCATCCCTGACTTCAAGCTCTATTATAGAGCTATAGTCCTGAAAACAGCTTGGTGTTGGCACAAAAATAGACAGGTAAACCAAGGGAATAGAATTGAAAACACTGATATTAACCCACACACCTACGATTTTTGACAAAGAAGCTAAAGTTATATGATGGAAACAAGAAAGCATCTTCAACAAATGGTACCGGCATAACTGGATGCTGGCATGTAGAACATTGCAGATAGATCCATATCTATCGCCATGCACAAAACTTAGGTCCAAATGAATCAAAGACCTCAACATAAATCCAGCCACACCAAATCTCTTAGAAGAGAAAGTGGGAGGTACCCTTGAACAAATTGGTACAGGAGACTGCTTCCTGAACATAACATCAGTAGCACAAACACTGAGATCCACAATTAATAAATGGGATCTTCTGAAACTGAGAAGCGTCTATAAGGCAAAGAACACAGTAGATACGACAAAACTGCAGCCCACAGAATGGGAAACGATCTTCACCAACTTGACATCCAACAAAGGGCTGATTTCCAAAATATACAATGAACTCAAGAAGCTACCCACCAAAATACAAAACAATCCAGTTTAAAAGTGGGGCACAGACAGGATAGAACTCAGACCCGCATCTTTATCAAGAATCACTGAGATGGTTCCAAACGAACGAGTAACCAAAGTGAAGAATCACCTCTTCCCAGCCCGACATCCAGACATTACTGCTACTCATTGGTACTCAAGGCCACTGACACATGGATCCAGGAGTGATGACGTGCAGGGAAACCTAGGACATCCTGAAGGCACTGGGCAGTTCAAGCATCATCTGTCTGATTATTGGTGGCACAATTGATCACTGCCATGTCCTCTCTCCATATTGAGCATGAACAGCCCACCAGAGGATCTGAAGCAAAGACACTGCTTGAGAAACATTCTTGGAACTCTGCATATCTTCAACTATAACTGGAATCACGCACTGTGGTTTTGTCCCAAAGGGTTTCACTTCCAATTTTACACAGCCCAAATCCCACCCATACTGTACTTATCTGGAAACCACAAAGATTAATTTTGTTCCACTAAAAAAAAAAGTGGGGCACAGAAACTAAATAGAGAATTTTCAATAGAGGAATCTAAAATGGCTGAAAGACACTTAAGAAAGTGCTGAACATCCTTAGTCATCAGGGAAATGCAATTCAAAACAATTTTGAGACTCCATCTTACACCGGCCAGAATGGCTAAAATCAAAAACACCAATGACAGTTTATGCTGGAGAGGATGTGGAGAAAGGGGAACACTCCTCCATTGCTGGTGGGAGTGCCAACTTGTATAGCCATTTTGGAAATCAGTATGGAGATTCCTCAGAAAAATGGGAATCAGTCTACCTCAAGATTCAGCAATTCCACTCTTGGACATATACCCAAAGAATGCACATTCATACAACAGGGACATATGTTCAACTATCTTCTTAGCAGCGTTGTTTGTAATAGCCAGAACCTGAAAGCAACCTAGATGCCCCCACAACCGAAGACTGGATGGAGAAAATGTGTTACACACAATGGAGTATTACTCAGCGGGGAGGAAAAAAGTGAAATCTTGAAATTTGCAGGCAAATTGATAGAACTGGAAGAAACCATCCTGAGTGAGATACCCCAATCACAGAAAGACAAGCAGGGTATGTACTCACTCATATATGGATATTAGACACAGAGCAGAGGATTACCAGGCTGCAATCCACACCACCAGGGAAACTAGGGAACAAGGAGGACTCCAAGAGAAGAATACACGGTCCCCCACAGGAGAGGTAAGAGGGAGGTGGGAAGGGGAGAGGAAGAGGAGGGGAGGGGGAGAGAGAACAGGAGGGATCAGGAGAACTGAGACAGGGGAGGAATAGAGGAGGGCAAGTAAGGAGATGCCTTGATAGAGGAGCCAGTACAGGTTTGGAGAGAGGTCTGGCACTGGAGAATGTTCGAGGATTCACAGAGATGACCTCAACTAAGAATTTAGGCAGTGGTAGAGAGGCTGCCTTTGATGTTCTTCCCCTATAATGAGATTGATTACTATCTTGGTTGCCATTCCTAGAGCCTTCATCCAGTAGCTGATCAAAGCAGAAGCAGGCACCCAGAGCTAAACACGGAGCCATACTCCCAGAATCCAGTTGTAGAGAGGGAGGAGGGATGAGCAAAGCTAAGATCATGCTGGAGAAACCCCCAGAAACTGTTGACTTGACCTAGTGAGAGCACAGAGACCCTAGACATAAAGCTGGGGAATCAGCATTGGACTGAACCAAGCCCTCTGAATGTGGGTGTCATCTGGGAGGCCTGGGCAGTCTATGGAGCCTCTAACAGTGGAGCCGGTGTTTATCCCTAGTGCACGAATGGACTTTGGGAGGCCATTCCCTATGGAAGGATACTTTTGCAGTCCAGATACAGCCAAGAGGACCTAGGACCTCCTATGGTGATGTCACAGACTTTGATTTCCTCCCCTCCCCATGGAGGGCCTCACTAACCTTGGGAAGCGGGTAGGGGGTGGGTTGGTTGGTCAGTGGGAAGCATGGGAAGATGGTAGGGCGAGGGATTTGGGGCACTGATATTCTAAAATAAAACAACTTATAAAAATATTTAACACAAGGCTATAATTATAATTGTGAAGTACTGGCTGTACTTCACACCAGAAATGTGACCAGGCCTGACCATGTGCCACTGGCTGGAATGCAAGGGCAGTTTTAATTACAAAAGAATCACCCACGTGGCACTGAGGGTGTAGCTCACTGTCAGGGCATTTATCTAGCTGGCACAAGACCCCAGGTTCAAATCCCAGAACAAAGACAGACACATACAAATTCACGGTAAGTTTAGTATATTTTCATTAACATTGGCTTATATTAGGGCATTTTAGATGAAGAGATGTTCTTCTGAAAGTCCTCGGTGTAAAACTAGAACATTTACGCTAGTTCCAGAGGCAGATGGGGGTAGTTTGAAATGTACAAAGAAGTCTTATACAGAAAATAAGCAGAAAAATAATATGCAGCAAGTGTTAATACAATTTTTGTTATTGTTTCTAGATATAGTTTTTGAAGTTTATTTGTTAACTATAGCTTGTGTGTTGGTATCAGTGGGGGGGGGCATTCATGTGCAAATGTGTATCTTGCCCCTGTGCTCTGGTGTGTGTGTGTGTGTGTGTGTGTGTGTGTGTGTGTGTGTGTGTGTGTGTGTGTGTGTGTGTAACATGTGTTCAGGTACTAACAGAAACCATAAAAGGTCTCAGAGCCGGAGTTCTCTGCAGTTATGAGCTCTGGGTGACAAACAGACTTGAGTCCTCTGGAACAGGGGTCTGGAAGAGCAGCAAGTACCCTTAACACTGAGGCCTCTCCAGACCTCGACATCATGTGATGTTAGAACTGAGAGACAGAATGCAAATATCTCTTATGAATCTGCCTTTCCAAGGCTCTGTTTCCTCTGAGCACTGAGCCAGGCTTGGTCTGTCTGTAACTGAAGTGCAATCACAAAGTCTGCAGTCAATCAGCAGGCGATACAGAGATTTCTATGCAGAGTTCAGATTCAGATGTCAACCTCTGCCCTGCACAAGATGACTTGGAATTAGACTCCTTACAACGGAGCTAAGAGCACTGCTCTTTGGGGCGTCCGTTGCTTGGTCAAGTGAAGAAACAGCAGGCTGATTGCACAGCGAGGCCATGTGTCAGTCTGTGGTTCTGCATGCTGAAGACTCCAGACACCTGGCTCTGCCAGCTCCACCCACAGGGCTGCTCTATATGTATGGGGCCCAGTGCAGCTCACCCACCATCCCCGATTTCCAGGACAACCAGCACCGTGTTCTCACAGGAGCTCAACATAGACTGGGTAAATCTCTGAGACTGGGACAGGAGGGGGGGTGTCAGGAGAAATGGACCTGTGAGCCCACAGTGCCAGCAGAGGACCTTCAGGAGGAGACAGGAAAAACTGAGCCGAGATGGGGAGTAATTCCTTCTCTTCTGTTCCCACAGGAAACATGGGTGTGACGCTGCTTGAGTCCCGACTTTGTCTCCTGCTGCTGTTGGGACTTGTCATAATGGTTGTCTCATTCCGGCCCCCACCGGGTTTAACCCCTTCCCAGTGGTTTGAAATCCAGCATGTAAATAACAGAACCACCCTCCTCTGTACTCCTGCAATGCTGGTAGTTAACCGTTATACAGGACAATGCAAGGGCACAAATACTTTTATTCATAAAAGTTTTTCTTCTGTTGTTCGTGTGTGTGGCAGAAGAAATACTACTTGCCGTAACGGTCGTGCAAATTGCCATAACAGTAAAAACGGGTATCTATAACATTCTGTAATCTTACAACTCCAGCAAGTCATTATAGGCAATGCGGATACCAAACAACACGGAAACGGAGGTTCTACAGAATTGCTTGTGACAACAGATCTCCACAAGACAGTCGTACTTATCCAGTGGTTCCAGTTCACTTGGATGGGATATTTTAGCTCCAGTACCAGCCCTTTGTGCCGTCGTTCTGGATCTGCTGCTTGCTGCTTGCACTAGAGAAGAGCCTATACCTCTGTCTGTGCTCCTGTTGCCATCTATCCTGTGAAACCTGACCCTGATTCCCTTCGAATTTAGCTGATCAGATCTTTTCTACTCAATAAACACCTTTGCATACTCATCTGGATCTCTGTGTGTGTGTGTGTGTGTGTGTGTGCGTGATGTGCTACTGTCTAACTGTGCATGCCTGCCTGCCTGTCTGTCTGTCTGTGCATGTGTGTGTCTGTCTGTGTGCTTTTGGCTTCTGCTGTTTTTCCTTCTGGCTGAGTGTTCTCACTAAATGAGGTATGTCAACCAGGATGTGTTTGTATGTGAGTGTGTATGTTTAAAATCTCACCCTGAGAAAGGCTCAGGAATGAGCTCAGGTACCAACACTCTGTGTTTATCAGCTAGTAGACTAAAAAAAGACACACTATTGACTTTGAGCCCATATCTCAAAGGTCTTCTGTGGTGGATGCCTCCCAACAGATGGCCACAAAAAATAAATCCACTTCAGCCAGGTGATGGCGGTGCACGCCTTTCATCCCAGCACTCGGGAGGCAGAGACAGGCAGATCTCTGTGAGGCTGCGGCCAGTCTGGTCTACTGAGTGAGTCCAGGACAGCCTCCAAAGCTACAGAGAAATTCTGTCTTGAAAAAGAAAAAAGAAAAAAAATACAACCACTTCCCTTCCCGTCAGGACAGAGAGTATCCGTGTTCCACATAAGAAGTATCCAATGAAAATTGAAAGTATATAGATTAAGAAGAGGCAAAATAGCTTAAAGAGTAATTATCTTTAATAGTGGGCTGCAATTAGACAGAAGGCATTAATAAGTGTTCCTTGACTTTCTCAATTTCATGTTCTTATTTCAGATCACCTAAGAGGGTGACCTGGCTGTGGCATTTGTCGCTACATGCTAGAGCTGATACGCTAATCTTTTGATTATATAGGTGTTCTCTTTCTTCCTCACAGCTCCATGTCCTTCCGTCAAGGAACTGTACACTCAATGGAGCAGAACTGTCTCACTAAATGGAGGAAAACTAATCTGCCTTAGGTCAAGGCTGTATGGGTAGCTGTGCTCCTTGGTTAAAACATCCAAATAAGCTCTTGAATGATTTGGTCCAAAACTAAGTAGGTCAATTATATGGAGACAAATCTGATTTTCACTTAGTTTTGTAGTCACATCTTAAATAGTTTCCACAATTATACTACATTATTACACACTAGAAATAATTGCTATTAACATCATAATAAAATAATATCTAGTACATATATAAAAAAAGAAATATCCAGTGTCCTCTAAGCTTACAGTGGTAGGTGGTGCCTGGTCCCAGATGGAGTTCAAAGCCAAGATGTGCAGGTGAGATACAGGTTCCCATGTTCCCCAACACCCAACAGAAGAGGTGTAGTCTCTAAGTCAATAATTGTCCTTACATACTGAAAGGAACATGAGGCTCCAAGTTCCGAATGATGAGAGTGTGGAGAGTGAATTGTGGGACATGTCTGGGATGGCCTTTGCTATGATGCCATGGTAACAAAAGGCTGTTATTCTGGCATAACAATGCAAAGGGCTTTCCCCAGTAGGGCAGCTAATAAGGCAGATTCAGAATGGTCACTAGGAGAATGGTTCTGCCCCAGGAGCAGGAAGTTCTGATAGGAAGACTCAGCCTGAGTCCTCACAGCCTCTGCTTCCCCTCTGGTCCCATTTTTCCTTCCATACACATTGCACAGGGACACATTTAGCATCCCTAGAAATGTAGCACTTCCAACACACTGAGGAAAACAAGAGCTCATCCCAGTCCACCTCCCACCAAGAAATTCATGTGGTCTTCTAGCTCAAAGTCCCACCCTGAGAGATCAACCTTTCAATTTGAATATTTAAATCTTGGGCTGTTTCCCACACTGATGATGGTTTCCTTGTACAAATGTATATAAAACCTGAATAGTGTGGGCCAATTCCTACATACTGACCGGAAACCTCTAAAGGGTGAATGCTTCCGTGTTTTTTTTTCTTTTGCTTAGTATAAAGCCAATAATCGGAGGACATGGCAAGACTGGTCTCCTTGTTTAAAGCAGGAGTCAACCGATATCTTATTCCATATACTCGGGGAATTTAAAAAACAAAAATGGAGGAAAATCAACATTAAGGTTTTCTTTTACATAGGAAAGGGAAGTGATTCCATTTTGCCAGGATCATGCATAGATTAGGATTCTTTGCAGGTTTGTTTTGCTTTAAAGGTTTACGTTTATTGAGATGGTGAGTGCACACAAACTGTTAAGTGTGTGGAGGTCAGAGGGCATTTACACAAGTTCCTTCCCTCCTTCCACCACACGGATTCTGGAGGGAACCTTAGGTCACCGGGCTCAGTAGCAGGGCCTTTATTTGCTGAGCCATCTCACTGGTCCTTTCTCTGTTCACTGAAGAGAAGTTTGAGAGCTTTCTTCAGATCACAGGTGTGGGTGATGTCCTGGGTGACTTCAGGTGGGGTCTCTGGCTTGGGAGCTCTGGATTTATCTTGAAAATGTAACCCCAGCTGTTAACATCCAGCAGTTTCAAGGCCATTGGGGTTCTCAGGTCCACCTGGTAAGATCCCTTCCACAAAGGAGTCAACTGTTTCTATGCATCCTCCCAGGAGGACCCAGCCTCCTCCAGACTGGGCGTGAACACCTGTCTTCCCATATTCCTGTGCTGCTTGTGGGGCTTGCCCCCAATTCATAGCATGCTGTAGTGAGCCATCTGATGGACCTCAGAGCCTGAACCCAGACCTATGGGAAGAAAAGCCTCCCATACAACAGGGCTGTACCTGGTGTGTGTTTGTGAAGCTATTCTATCTCTCCTGAGGGTAATGGGAGCAGCTTAAGCCATTTATCAGTGGTTTCTTGGCAAAGTTTTGCTAGGATCTGTTTAAGAGCTTGGTTAAGCCTTGCAATACTACCTGAGGCTTGGGGCTTCCAATCTGAGTGCAGGTAATATTCAGTCCCTAGAGTCTTGCATATAGTTTGAGTCCTCTGTGGTATGAAGGAAGCTCCATTAATGACTCTACTGACCAACCAGGGGAGACCAAACCATGGGATAATGTTCCTTAGGAGGACATTTGCCTCCTCTGTGGTCTTTTCAAACACAGTGGGTAAAGTCTCAATCCAGCCAGTGAAGATGTCTACAAACACTAACAGATATTTGAAGCTGGCCGGTAGACACCAACCAGTACATTCTCTCTGCCAGTCCTCACAGGAGTAGGTTTCTCTCCTCTGGGTTTGTCTGAGGAATGGGAGAGGATGAGGGCAGCAGAGCTGTGGAGAGTGTAGGTGACACACATGCTTTACTGTGGTCAGTCTCTACCCAGGAACAGTCAAGTCCTCATAGCTAGAGGAGCATCCCTCCCTGGATGGAATGAGACAGGCATCCCTGAATTGTCTTCACTGTAGGATCTGGAGGGAAAGCATTTTATTCCCCATGCTGGTCCATGGCCAGTTTCAGTCACTCTATTATTAATGACGCCCTGGAACGATGACACACATTTGGTGTCTTTGGAGCAGAGGTGCTGACTCTTTGGGGATCTTTGTCAGTAGGTTTAGAATCACTTGTTTATGTTTTATGGACCAGCTGTTGACTGTTAACCTTCAAATTTTCTACAGATGTCAGCAAGGACATGTAACATCATGAGGACACACTTAAAAGCAGTGTAGATATTAATCTTTTCTTTTTCTTGCCCTATAATGAGTCCCCATATTACAGTCTAGTATGGCCTTTGGATTCAAAATTCAAAG